TCATCATCATCATCATCATCATCATCATCATCATCATCATCATCATCATCATCGCCCGCAATGACGTTTCTTAGACAACTCAAATAATAAATAATTGAGGTAAATCATCTATTTAAGAATATAACAAATAATTGACCCCTCCCCTAAAAAAACCCAACATTACAAAAACAACCCCCCCACAAAAGAACCCCCAACCCCCCACGCACACAAGTAAATATGAACGCTTACCGTTTTTCTGCAGAAGACGTCACTGTACGTTCTCATAATTCACTCTCAAGGCCTTTCCGCCGTGGCTCAGCATTGTATGGCAGTTTCCTGGGAAAAATAAAAGCATTTATTTAGTAACAGGTCATGCCTTATTCTCACTATACTCGAGACAGTAGTAAACGTATTTGTCTGTAGGTACAATTTGCATTAATTAGGATGTTAGGTACTTTGACTCAGCCTGTCCGGGTCAACTCGGCCTCGGAAATGGGACAGGGGGATTTGGAGGGAGGTTGTGGAGCTATGGTATGAAAGCGGTAAGCTAGAGGTGCTCGATACAATACACTGACCCTCGCAAAGCTCGAAGTGAGGCCTTTTGCGAGCGGCAGTGGAAAGCCTGGCAGACGCTGGCACTGCCACTTCAGAGATTAGAGTAAAATCAAAAAGTAAAATTCAGCAGCTACAAGAAAAAACCCCCAACCAGATCCAAAGGAACGAAACAAAACAAAACGATCCATTAACACCAACAAAAGATGGAGTTTAGTTTCCCTTGCTTTTAGCGTAATGAGTCCTGTCTTTATAACGGATGGCGGCCGAGTCTATTTCTTTACGAGTGTCATACAGAACCAGAAGCCTACCACCGTGGCTTACAAACTCCCAATAAAGCTGGCTGATGTTGTGAACAGCTTATAGATTTTCCCGTCTTTCTAGAATTTGCCCCCCCCCCCCAAATCCCCAGTAAAAAAGACATTTGGTAAAAAAAAATCGTGAGATACAGCCGATTTGAAGAATACAACATCCGTAAACAGCATGAACAACATGACTTGTTTCGCCAGAGATGAACTGATTGAAAATACATGTATTAAAGAATTCATTCGTTTTCTAATTGACCAAAATGTCTATTTTGTACGCTCCCATTTATTTGTATAGATACTATTTATATTTAACTTATGATAATGTATCGCATTTATTTATTCCCTCATTTATTTCTAAATTCCTCTTTCTTTCTTTTCGGTCTACTCTTCAACCCATTTACTCAGTCATTTATTTGTTCGTTCGTGGGGGGTTTATTTTGATGTCGTAGAGTGCTAAACATTGACAATAACTCAGAATTATTCATTAGTTTACGCGCAGGCAAATACTACTATAAGAACTGAATCTATAGGCTAGGCAATATATTGTGTCTTCAATAACGATACCTTTAGTATTTCAGGCACTCCCTAAAATCTTGAATCCTAAGCGAAGGCTATATATACCCAAAAAAAGTACTTTTTTGTATCTTTCGGTCTGTTGTTATCATGCTGTTTTTTATTATGCAAAACTGTCTGATGTCTTTTGTTGAATAAACACTTGTTTGTATTGGCTTGCATGATTTCCATAATAGGTTCTATGTCACGGAGCTCACCAATCGGACGATGACATAACAAATTTGAGATGGAGACACCACGACTGAAATCTGTTCCAAAAATAGGGTTGAGAACAGTTTACAATCAACTAAAGGATCAATGTTAAATGACTTAGAAACTATAATTGCTTCAGGAAAATGCATCGACAGGAGAGTGAGGATCTTTTCTGAAACCGCAGACTATTTCTCCTAATTTGTTGTTTGTATTCTGTCATACAGTCAGTCAGAGTCGTCTAGAAATCATGAAAAATTAATAACCTCGTCTTCAAGTTCAATTCTTTTTTTCCCTCATTTTTAGAGGCAGAACAAATCGGTATAATGGCATTTACGAGGCTCAGTCACGACTGACCTTTAGAAAAGAAACCGATCTTTCCGGCATCTCGTTCTATTCCAGAGTCGTGCCAAGTCGATACTCTAACTGATAAAAAAAATTGGAAAAAAAGGATGAAAGAAAGGGGGGAAAAGTCTCCAATCGGCCGTTCCTCTTATCTCGTGCCACAAACACTAAGGCTGTCCATCGCATTTAAGGTTCACAGGCCCTCCACTAAATCGGTAACGATCGCCATCCCAGATTAGTCGACCGCGCTTTCATTCTCTCCCTCAACCCCCTTTGACTGAAAAGTTCCACGGTCTTTTTTTCAAATTTCACTGAAGGGATTTGAGAAGCCGCCCAGACCTCGTTGGCATTCACGGGCGTCCGGCTTCGTCACACTGAATGAAGGGCCGTATTCCACGTCACTCGTCCTGGTGCAAGACGAGGCCTGCAGGTTACACGGAACTAGTCATTTCTACTTTCTACGTTTAAAATAAAAATATTTTATGGATCTAGTCATTTCTACTTTCAACGCTTTTTTAATTTATTGAATGGAACTAGTAGTTTCTACTTTCAACGCTTTTTATTTACGTATTAATTAATTAATTAATTAATTAATTAATTAATTAACTTCAGAAACTGATCTGATCAGGACAAGAGGAATGAATGATTGTCAATGTCTGTTCCAGACCTGACACCTGAAGAACAACAACAACTATAACAACGTACACGATCAGTTTCTGCGATGCAATCCTAGACTTATTTTCGCATTTGCAGATAATAGACGGGAATTCCGTTTTCTGACAGGGGAAGCTTTTTATGGGGTATTTCTTTCTGTCTCCTGGGACTTTGAATCCCACGTAGCCGAGCTTGACCCCTGGCAGGCAGGGTGGAAACAGCCCGCCTCCCAAATTATTCAAATAGTGTAAACAAGACGTAAAACAATGTAGTCACATACTAATTTATTATTAACAAATTACTAGACGCCAATACGCCATCTTGTAAGGCCAAGCTCATGGTCTAGTGTATGATACTACGGAAAGGGGAGATTGAAAGAAAGAAGAAAAGAAAGAAAAAAGAGAAAGAAAGAGAGGAAGAAAGAGAGAAAGAAAACAAGCAAAGCCAATACATCGTTGGTAACTGCTCTCACAAGCATTTGAGAGTTGACTTTTATCTGCAACATTCCACCATTAGAGAGGGTTGCTCCTTGTACTGGTTTACCGCAGGCTAATTTTGTTCTCCCAGTCTCCAGCTGGGTGACGGTTTTCGGTTTACCCACAGTTTCTTCTATGACCTTGATTGATAGCAAAAACTGTAATTTTCACTTCCGTGGAAACTCGTAATGAGCTCAAACAGAGATCGTTCGTTCAACAAAAAAAGCCCCTTCAAATGTAAAAGGAAAACCAGAACAGACGGGTGAAGGGAAAACATCAGGATAATGAGGGATTTTTTTAGAGTATATGTGCGGAAAAGTAAATGAAGAACCATGGTCGCCGATGCCTCTTTCAGAACTGGTACTTTATACTGATGATAGAGGTCGAGTTACATATTATCACGAAAGTCTATAACATTACATGTATACAAGTCTTCGTTTAAAAAAAAAAGAATATCAAACAAATTATAGTCATTTAATGCTGACGGAAAAAAGCAAGACAGACAGACAATATCAAAAGATGGATAGTACAGAAATAAGCTCTACGTGTGACGTTCTTCAACCACCCAGACCAGCCAAATTACGCCAGGTAAAATAACACAAAGTCAAGAAATAGTTTTGCGTGCAAACAAACCATTAACAACGGAGAATGTCCGTACGCCTTATTTACAGCTACCTAGTTATCAGTAATTATTATCCATATAATGTATCAACTAATTCAAATTTGGTTCGCTGTGATGAACATGCTATGGCATATTGAAGATGTCCTGTTTAGGGGTACTTTAAAAAATTCAAAGCATTGTATCGTTATCTAAATATTCTATTTTGTCATTTTGCTATCCTACCGCAATATTTAAAAGGAGAAATATGAAAATTTATGCTTCTGGTTTGGATTTAGTGGCTCGAAATTTTCCTTCGATATTGCTTTTGTTCTGCTGTGTCCGCTACAACCTTGAAGAGTACGTTTTAGTTTCGTGATCCCTAAGGAACGCGGACCCTGATTGTCGAAAGCAAGTGAGCGTTCCTTACTCTTCTATAGCGGCAAAAAGCTTCTCAACACCTACACCACTCAAAGCAACATGACTTATTAAAGATCCGCCATGCTCCTCCAAGCTTACAATCCAGCGTTATTTTTGCCCTTTTCCTCGTAGTAAAGGAGAATTTCTTGGCTCGGAAACGCCAGTAGAGGGGTTTCGAGACGGATAAAAATGCAATAATACCAGCGATTATTATTGGCCGTCAAGCTACACGAAGAAGCGAAGGGGAAAAGCAAAAGCCGCAGCGGAGAGGATCGTGGAAATCAAACCTCATCGAAAGGAAAGATCAAGCAGGCTACTCCTTTCTTCATAAGCGAGATGAGAGTAGTTCTCTCGTTTCTTTTCTGTCCATCAGATTTTTTTTGTCTGCTCATGGGTAGGCGGCTGAGGTACAGGGGATTGGAAGACCGAGGGAGATTTAGATGGTGAGATAAAAAGAGGGAAACATTCATGCATGTAAGCATCAGGACCTGTCCCCCTAATGTTTGAAATCTGTCAAGGATTATCTTCTCCTTCGTCTAGCGCGCGAGCGGGGCAATCCATCACTCCGTGGCGTTGGCCAAATCAAATTGGGCTAGTCGTTTTTACAGCATGGACTTCGGCCGGCCTTTAAGAATGTCAGACATTCAAATACATCGATCAGAACGTATTTGCACTCTGATGCCTTCCTCATATAATCAGAAGCGGCTAGCATGGACAACCCCGTTTCCTTCCTTCCACCCGCAAGGTGACCTCCAGACCCCCTAGAGAACCAAGTCATTTGTCATTCCTTACCCCC